GTAAGTTACGTAATATTGCTTATTCTTTACTTGTCTAACATGTCCTCATACCTCATTATCAGTGACCACACAGTACAAATATTCATCTTTTCTCCTGAACTGGATATCTACTCATCCCCCTAGTTAGAATTAAAATTAAGTTTACTATAACTCATATCACTAACAAAATAAACACATGCATGATAAAGTTTTGAAAATTCAACAAATAAATAACAGAAAATAAATTAAAGAAATTATGGTGCAATGCTAAGGCTATCAAAACAGAAAACAAACATGGAAATGTTATTCTCTTCAAATCTTGGAAATAAGACATGAGGTTGCGCAGATTTTCTGTAAACTGACGACGCAGTTCCTGCAAACCGTATTTAAAATCCTTATGGAAGGTATTCACCTAAATTAGTGTATTTCCTTCAAGATATTAGCCTGTACTTTCATAGCAACTTACACAAAAGTGCAGAGTCTAAGTGTGAGTAATTGGGAGCATAAGACAAATGTAAAGCTGAATAACTGACAAAATAAATTACTTTCATTTAAATACAGTAGACAGAACACAGAAAGTGACAGTTTAAAAGCAGTTGATCATGAATGAACAAAATGGATACACTTGTTAATTTTACTTTACAATTAGATTGATACACAAAGCACTCTCACAAAGCATTTACTGGAATCCGACCTACCTAATAAGTAACCTAGAGATCGCTTTTAAGAGAATCTTATCGGCCTCACAACTTCCAACTAAGTCGCGTAGCTCTGTAAAACTACTGTACCATAAGATAATACTTCAGCAATATTTTGATCAGTGCTGAACCATACAGAATTAATACAAAACTTATTTCAGCATATGGATATTTTATGAGATAGGATTGTTCAATTACATATCCTATATTCTACAATTTCTTTGTGAATACAACACATCAAACCCTCAAAATACCATGAATGAACCGTAACAAAGAAACATGAATGTGATTGCTTGGAATAAACCAAAAGAAATTATTTGTCTAAATCATTGTTTTTCAAACAATATTCTATGGCTAAAATGATTCTATGATTAATTTCAAACTCTTAACTCAAACTCTGGGTAGAACAGTTAGGAAATAATGCACAACACTTTGTGTCAAGGCCTGTGGGTAAATATACCTTCAAAAGAAAGCTGGGGATATTCCATTTTGCAAGCATACCACTAGCTACTACCAATGCATATGAGAAAAGTAATATATGCATCCATACAGATGAAACATTTCCAAAGGAATGGAATAAATTCTCACATTTTCCCTTCTTAATTTCTCTTCATCTGTTTCCTCCTTGGCTTCATCATTTGCATTTTATCAATCTTGTAAATCCAATATCCCTACTTTTTCTTAATGGTATATATTGGGCTCATATGAGGGTTTCTTTGACTAATGATTAATATATTGACTAGATATTACAGTCCTATATCTGAGTAGCAACTGACTTCGTATTACACTGGCTTCTTCAGAGCAATGATAGGATGTAAACGTGGGATTTGTAGCAAAATGCTGTTTTGTACAACTGAAGGTACAGATCTTATCATTTTGTGGTACTTTGATTCTTTGTTGTCTGTTCTATTCTATTTCTGTCTGCAAACACAATTTGGTTAAATTTGTACATACATCAGGAGCAAATGTGGACAGGAATTTCAGCACTAAATAGCTACTGTTTCAGTCTATAGGTGAAAGATGTATGAAACAGTAACTATTTCCTGAACATTGCTCTGAAGAAAGTTTCTGAAAAATGAAAGAAGGCTCCATGCATGCTGAAAACACTGACCCTCAAAATCAACTGCTCAAAGCTGTTAAATAACTTGCTTGAAAGGTAGAGATCCTGAGAAAGATGAACAATGATTTAAAAGTGTAGGTAAAGGCTATGTTGCAATAATTAAAACATGGATATAAATTCAATATGATTTGGAAAGGTTTTCTTTGTCAAGGCACCTCAATTATCTGTGTAACATCATTAAAATTAAACATTGGAAAAGAAAAACTTTCAGGTGTTTTTCAACAGCTGCTAGCTTGAACTGTCCTGGTCTGCAATTTCTTTGAAGGTCTATTCTTTCTCCGATTGGATAAAAGTTTTCTTCAGGAATTCTTTGTGTGCTTGTCGTTTCCTATTTATCTTTTTGGCTGTGTAGTTCTTTATGCTGAAATAAAGATCATGTATACTTACTTAACATTAATGTATGATAATGCATGGCTACACAAGGTAATTAGGAGAAAACCTCTGCAAATGTGTGCACCACTGTATAAGATCAGAGTACAGAAATATTCATAGGCTGGACCGAAGTTGTTTTGTTTCTAATCTGTGGAGATTCAGATGTCCCAAGATGCCTATTACTTCCATTTCCATTCTCAACAGACAGGTTTTTAACGTTGTGCTAATAGGAACATGGTTATGAGAAGCAACTCAAGTAAGTTGATGTTGGCAATAAAACAACCTCATTGCTAGTTAGACAAGAGTCATCAGAAGATGACATATCCCCTGACCCCCACATATTTGAAAGAACAAATCATCTGACAGTTAGTTTTTTAAGCTAAGTCCAAATCATTTCCATGGAAATCATGAGAAATATAAATGCCAAAATCTGTGTAAATAGCAAAAGGCACCATTTCAACATTTGCCTAATATATCTGCCAAGTTCTGTTGAAAGATACTGAATGCTTTTCGAGTTGTGCACGGAAATGAAGCCCACCCCTCCTTTTGGGACTAAGTCGAATCTTTTCCATGGAAACCGAGAAAATAATAAATCACAACAAGAGTCATCAGAAGATGAAATATCACCCCTGGCCCCACATCTTTGAAAGAACAAATCATCTGACAGTTACTTAAAGTCCAGCTTGATTTTAGACACTAAGTGCAAATCGTTTCCATGGAAATGATGAAAAACATAAATGACAAAAATCAGCAAATAGCAAAAGGCACCAATTCAAGATCTACCTCACATAGCTGCCAAGTTTTACTGAAAGATATTAAGAAGTTTTTAAAGCGAAACCCACCCCCCTCCCTTCTGAGACTAAGTCTAAATCGTTTCCATGGAAACCTAGAAAATAAAAAGACACAAAATCTGTGTAATAGCAAAAGGCACCACTTTGGGATTTGCCTCACATATCTACCGAGTTTTGCTGAAAGATATTAAGAAGTTTTTGAGTTGTGCTCGGAAGCGAAACCTACCCCTCCCTTTTGAGACTAAGTCGTTTCCGTGGAAACCGGAAAAATAAAATGCCAAAAATCTGCAAATAGCAAAAGGCACCACTCAAGGTTCTGTTTGATATATCTACCAAGTTTTGTTGAAAATATTGAGCGGTTCTTGAGTTATGCTCGAAAACAAAGCCCACCCCTCACTTTTGGGACTAAGTCGAATCGTTTCCATGGAAACTGGGAAAAATAAAATGCCAAAATCTGCAAAAGCAAAAGGCACCACTTAAGGTTCTGTTTGATATATCTACCAAGTTTTGTTGAAAAATATTGAACGGTTTTTGAGTTATGCTCCGGAAACGAAGCCCACCCCCCTTTAAGACTAAGTCCAAAACGTTTCCATGGAAACCGAGAAAAATAAAATGACAACAATCTGTAAATAGCAAAAGGCACCACCTTAGGTTATGTTTGACATATCTACCAATTTTTGTTGAAAAATATCGAATGGTCTTTGAGTTATGCTCGAAACAAAATGATTCTGGAAACAAAGCGACGACTATATCCCCGCATTACATGCCGGGGTGGAGTGAAGTAGGGTGGGTGGGGTGTGGGGTGGGGTGGTGTAAAAATATTGAGCGGTTCTTGAGTTATGCTCGGGAAGCAAAGCCCACCCCTCACTTTTGGGACTAAGTCCTAATCATTTCCATTGAAACCGGGAAAAATAAAAATGCCAAAATCTGCAAATAGCAAAGGCACCACTTAAGGATCTGTTTGATATATCTACCAAGTTTTGTTGTTGAAAAATATTGAACAGTTTTTGAGTTATGCTCCGAGGAAAGCAGAAGCCCACCCCTCTTTAAGACTAAGTCCAAAGCGTTTCCATGGAAACAGAGAAAATAAAAGCGACAAAAATCTGTAAAATAGCAAAAGGCACCACCTTAGGTCCTGTTTGATATGTCTACCAATTTTGTAGATAAATATTGAACGTTTTTTAGTTATGCTCTGGAAACAAAATGATTACAGGCCAGACGGACTGACGAGGCTTGACTATATCCCCGCATTACATGCTGGGGAGATAAAAGATTAGGAGTTTTTAAAATTCACTGACGGAAACAAAATCAATTCATGGAAGAAACAAAATATTTAATTCCTTACCACACTTTTACCAAAGTTGTCAAGTTCTGGAAACTTCGTCCTTCTTGAATTCACATCTATCTCCACTCTTCCCATCAGTAGTCAAGCTCATCTCAGTATCACTGTAAGAACAAAACAAAGTCATTTGTAGCATGATTTTGGAGACCTTTCCTTATTACAAAACATTCAAAGGACCAAATCAAATTTGTTAGTTTTGTGTCCCATTAAATGTTACAAAATATTAGTGCACTGAAGTGGATATCCATAGATTTTCTTTACTATGGCAAGACACAAGGTTTTTATCATTATAATCTGTAACTACAATCTGACAGAAAATGTCATTCCCAATTCTTAAGCTACAACACATTAACAATGGTGATTGTTTTATTGTTTTGTACAGTTGACATGAAGAATAATGTTATAGTTATTTAGCTGGGGAGTATGGGCTATGTACAACCAAAGGGAGTAACTCAATGTTAGCCACCATCACCAACTGGCCAGTATAGTTGTTTTCATGGTAACCATGGTAGATGGTGTTTAACTTAATCTCTTTTCTAAACCTAAACCATCTGTGTTAACTGGTTAACCTTAGTTTTCAAGATCTACATGCTCTTAACTGAGCATATACATTAAATCAAGTATATTTAACTGGGTATATACATTAAATCTAGTATAGACTCAATTAATTAAGCACTGGTAGAACATTTTCATGTTAACATTATAGCTGAAAACTAAACTTGTCCATAAAACTGACAAAAACATACCTTGGATAACCATGGTAAAATGGACAGAGTGAACCTTTGAAACAAAGGCCTTCTTCCCAAAATCTGCAAGTGATGCTGGATAAGTCATGGGAAAATTTGCAGTCAGATCGTAGAACAATTACCCTCCAGGAAAAACTGCAGGGTTTACAGCGCTTGATTGAATCTAAAATAGAAAGTTTAAATGTTGATTGCTTTTATTAATACTACAAAGAAACTGTAACGTATTACATCTGAGACAATTTATGCTATACTCCACCCAAAAATTGAAATTATGCTGTGCACACAAATAGAGATGTAAACACAGTAATTGGAAAGCTTCTCAATAGACTGTGTGGAGCATATAAATGTTGTCAATTTGACTTTTGACTTTTGATATTTGTTAAAAAGATTAAACAGCACATCATGCCAGGACTCAAGACTGCATGTTATGAGGCTATTGAGATGGTCTGTGGAGGAACGTCTCAATATCAGGCTGCGCATTTCCACTCCCACCCAAACACCATTTCAGAGGGAATCAGAACAATAATGACATGCACATCATAACATTCCATTCCTGGACTTAGGGTATCCACCCAAACACAGTTACAGGATAAGATCATGTCGTCCTGCAACATTACTGATTTACTGCTAAAGCTGTTTAGAACCATACACTCACTCATTCTCTAAACATACCTCTCCTCAGCTTCAGTTTATGTGATTTCCTTTTGGCATTCCTTCCACTGAGGGCCTTTTTCTCAAGCCACTGCTTCTCAAGATCTGACGAGTACACAGCCTGGTGTGGGATTGGCATCAGACCAGACACTTCATAACTCTGTCAATTACAAACAACATACTGGCCATCAAAAGAAGAATTGACCAGAAGCTGATAATAAAATGTCGTTTATAATTCTTAATGCATAATGCTGAGTCAGTGTGTGTTTGGGTCACATTGTAGATGTTAACTTTAACTGTAATACTATTTCTGTCTCGACCATTGTGACCAAACCCTTCCAGTTTACTTGACCAAACATATATAACTTGACATTATTTTCTGCATATTTTACCCTTAACACATAGATTAGCATCAGTTTATCTAAATGGAATGTTCAAAACAATTTGACTACTATTTACCAACAATCATATGCATATACCAGCATTTAAGTGTTAAGAATTTTCCAAAGAACAATGCAAACCCATTCTTACCTGTGGGCCAGAGCAAACATCAGATGCACTTAATATGTAGGAATCATATTCCGGATAATTTTCCAAGTAATATAAGTAGAGTTCATCGGTTTTGTCAGACTCCTCTTTTGACTTGTTTTCTTCATCGTTTGTTGTGACCTCTGAACTGCAGAGTGTCTCATCAACAGCACATGGCAAGTACAAAGTCTCATTATCAACACTGAAAGGATGCAAGTCCATTTCATATCCTGCGCTCCATATGTCATGATAGTGTTGCACATCTGACAAATGCATTTCTTTGATCTTCTGACCATCCCATTTAGAATCATCTGGGACTTTTGAGTCCACTCCTTGACTTTGTTTTGTTATTTTCCTGCTCTTGTCTGCTTTCTTTTCACTGTACAAGTCTCTTAGACTCGTACATAACTGCAGTACAGATTCGTCCTCCACAGATGGACCTACACTTTTGGAAAGTGAAAGGTTCTTGACGCTGTCTGTTTCAGCAATCTCAGGCTCAGCAACTGCTAGGTAGCTTGAACTTTGATCTACGACGTCCGGTTCCAGATTTTCTTCTAAGACGGAACCAACAACAATTTCTTCAATGAATTCAGTTCGACTGTTTTTGGCTTGTTCACAATGTTGCTGTCTAAATCTCTCGTAGTCAATATCTGATTCATCTAGACTTCCCCCAGTTTGAATATATTTGTCCAAATCTTTTTGTATTTTAAATTTGGGCCGAAAGTTGCTTTCTTCTTCTTCTCCTGGACTAAGAAACTGTTGATATGGAGTTCCACTGTTGTCTGACATTCCACCAAAGAGATCCTTGGGCTGGAACTCGACATCTTCATCTGGAGTTGCAACAGGGGTTTGGATAGGACGAAAGTGAGTTTTAGCAGAGAAATACAAATGTTCAACAGGAGATTCAATACTAGCTAGACCAGGTGGATGGAGATCATCTTCCCGAACCATTGACACTAATGACTTATAGCGGAGATTTGGAGCACTTCTGACATGATGCAATTGCTTTGGAACAACACCCTGGAAAGCAGAATTTTCAGATGGAATCAATTCATAACTTATGTCTAGATTTGGTTTTGACATGTCCAGGAAAGGGTTGTCTGCCATGCTTTGTAAGTCACTCTCCGAAACGCTTCTTTCATATCGTGGACCCTTTCCTATTCCATTGATCTCTTCAAGAAACTGAAGCCCTAACACTGCATCTTCTTCATTGATGATTTCTGAAAGGAAGACTTCATCATCGTTGTTCCATTCTTCTTCCTCTTCAACCTTGTCAGGAGCATAGACAGAAAGACTAAGGATACTGTTCCAGGTGCAAGCATTTGTATCAGTGTTTTTTGCCCTCATATCAGCCATTTTCTTCTGACTGTTGACATCCCAAAGTTGCCACAGCTCACCTTTCAAAGTAGGAGACCTAACTGACAAATTTACAGGACTTCGACTCATTGCTGATGACCAAATATGTTTCTTTTGACTTAATACTGCGTCCCATGTGAGTTCAGAAGAGCGTTCTAAGCTCCCAAATGTAAAAGTATCTCCATAGTCATGTAGCAATATCTTGCTTTGCCAGCATGACCCGCCAGATCCAGATAGAGGGGACAGATGAACAAAATATGAAGAGGAACATTCATTTTGTAGACTAACTTCTCCAGAATCAAGCAGATCTAGGACATAACTGTGTTCAACCAAGCCTGGTTCTGCCAACAGAACTGATCCACCAGAACTTTCTCCTACAGAACTGAAAGAATTAAAGAGATCAGAAGGAAAACAGGCACTTTCATCTCTCTCATCTTCAGAGGTAGAATCAGTAAATTTTGACTGAGGCTCAAGCTGACTTGAAGACACTGATGTCGATTTTTCTTCTGTTTCTGTTTCAGAATCTTGTTTCTCCTCCGTGTTTGATGATGATTCTAGAGGATTTCCATTGGATGTGGCGCCATTTGGGAACATATTTCTGGTGCCATACAATATACAATCTTCCTCTTCGGCTCCATAAAGAAACAGATCATCAGCACAAAAATCGAATTCTGGTTTTGCCTCTGAATAGTCAAGTTGTTGAACCTCGCTTTTTTCCATGCTCTCCAGAAGATCCTGTCTAGAAGATTCAAACAGACTCTCCAACCTACTCCCTTTCAAGCTACTAGCAGTACTTGTGGTCATCTGGCCTGTGTCATCATCTTCTCCATAGTTCATCAGGAGCAGCATGTCAGGGAATGGACTGCTGTGTCGGCTCATGTCAAAGACGAAGGATGTCTCTGTAACGTCACTGAAATAACCTTTTTCCACACTAGAGACAGTGCTACTGGTATCACTGGCTGGGACAAGGCAGTCAGGGTCTGTACCGGGGGAAAAGACTTGGTAATGTAAGTGGCAAGGCACTGGTGTTAAAGTCAACCTTGGACTTCCCATCTACATTGGTGGCAAAGTTAGCAAATTCGTCAAAAGGAAATAAAACATTTGGGGAAGTAGGGGCTAGGTCGTCGTTATACCAAGCTGGGGTTTCATCAGTTTCCTTTACGGCTTCATTGGTTTCTTCAACAATTCGTTCTTCTTGATCCTTAGCCACTTCTTTTGCTTCTTTACCTTTTTCTTCAGACAAACACTCTACTCCTTCATTATTGATAGCCTTCTCTTGTTCTCCACTAAACTGCAAATCCTCATTCGGCTGCTCAACCACATCAGACACTGCTTCCTGTGGATGGCTCAACAAAATCTCCAAAACATCTTCTTTTGGAACGTCCTTGTTTGGATCAAAAACATCTTCCAATAAAATATAATCTGTTGTGGTTTTCTTCAAAGACAGAATAGTGTTCCACTCAAACTGTTCACCAAAATTCAGCATTGGTGGATAGCTGTGCCTTTTGTAAAGCCGTTTTGTCTGGGACACTGGTGTGTAGAAAATATGCTCCAGGGGCTGTGTGTACCAATCATCATTTTCAGTGAATTCTGGACTCTGACTGTCTTCTCTAAACCATTCTGTGAAGCATCCTTCCGTGAACCCTTCTGCTGGAAAATAGGCCCACATTGGCAGGTCTGTTGGAGCCTGAACATGTTTCCTGTCTGATAATAGCATTTCTTTCAACATCTGCTCAACCATACTGCAGTATTTCTCTTCTTCTGTTTCTTCAGGATTGGCTTGTTTCTCAGTATCTACTTTTCCATTTTCTTTCTTCATGTGCCCTGGTGGTGGCCAGCTTAGAAAACGAACTGCCTTGCTCTGTGCCTCAATCTCTTTCTTCCCCTTCATATTTTTCTTTCTTCCTCCTGCACTAGGAGACATCTTTTGACTGGAATCTCCTCTTCCTGATCGCCTCCTTCTTTCAGGTGCTGATGGTGAATTTGTGGATGACTTCGAATCCACCGGAGATTTCTCTACAGTTTTGACTTCTTGTGTGAAAGCCTCTGCATGTTCAGGAGATACATTCCGAGGAGATCCTTCTTTACTCTCAGATGTTTCCCCAGCAAGAGATCCACTTTTCCTGTTTTTCCGCCAAATATTGTCATCAGATGACGGGGATAGTTGTGGTGGGGTGCCATCACCAGGAAGAGCTGGAAATGCTGCATAGTACCTACAAAACAAAGGAAATGTTTTAACAATTACTTCACATCACTAACTTAATGTTTAACATATAATCATGTAAAATGTATGTAATTGGTCACATTTTTTAGACATTGTTAACATTCTATGCAATGGTTTGGGCCAAATTGTCTATAACAGTATTTTAACAAGCATATCCCCAAGAGTGTTGGTATTATACTAAAGCATGGTAAGTGAAATGTAGAAACCAAAGGCACACAGAAAAAAGTGTGTGTTACAAATGCATTTCCAGGGACTATACAGATTTTTGGACTCTAAATTCAAGCAGCTTTTGTGCACTTTCAAAGAAAAACATTATTTTTCAAGGACCGCTTTTACTCAAAATGAAAATCAAGATGAGAGCCACATTAGCATGCAACATCAATGTCACTACACAGTGTCGCATACACATTGACACATTTTGAGCTTTTCACACAAATAGTTGGCTTTCCTTTCATAAACAAGAGTCATCAGAATATGACAAATCCCCCGGCTCCCACAAATTTGAAAGAACAAATCATCTGACAGTTACTTAAACTTAAAGTCCAACTAAGTACATATCATTCCCATGGAAATCAGGAAAAATATAAAAGCCTAAAATCTGTAATGAGCAAAGGCACCACCTTTGGATCTGCCACATATACCTGAGATTTTTAAGTTATGTTCCAGAAATGAAGCAGACACCTCCCTTTTCAGACTAAGTCCGAATTATTGCCATGGAAATCAGGAAAAATATAAATGCCCCAAATCTGCAAATAGCAAAAGGCACCCCTTTGGGATCTGCTTCACATATCTAAGAAGTTTTGTTGAAAGATATTGAAAGGTTTTCGGGTTGTGCTCCGGAAACGAAGCCCACCCCTACCTTTTGAGACTAAGTCCAAATTGTTTCCATGAAAACCAAGAAAAATAAAAATGCAGATGGACAGAAGGACGAGACGTCGAATATAACATCTATAAATCCTGGGTGTTCACAGACCAAGCATAATTAACATAAATTCAAATAAATCAAATGTGAAATTGGAACAGCATGACATGTGTACAAGGGGACACAACTCTAGTCATTCACAGTTCATTCAGTTTCATCATAAAACACAGGTTAGATGTAAAGTTAATGCAATTTCTCCAGAGTTCTTGAAAGGTATACAAGCAATGTGGTTCATTTGTTAATTCATTCAACATGATTGTTCAGTGGCCTGAATGTTGTCTTCACATTTTGTCTGTTGTCATTTTACTACTTCAAATGGGATAACTTCAGGTCCTCTAAATCTACAAACATATGTCTTGCACAACTTGTTAAGTCAATATCAAGAAAATATATTTTAAACGGGCTGTTCAAAAGAATTATTTTTCAAAATATATATTAACAACTCTAGAAAAATCCATAATAGAACATCAAAACAATCGGCAGTATTCAATAGTATAAGTATTACATACTTAAAAACAATGAAAAACTTATAAAGATGGTCAGATTCCTCATACATTAATCATATTAACTGATGAGAGGCAACTAACTATACATGATTTAACGCAGAGCGCTCGAAAAGACACTAAACATGCTCAACAATTGAATACTAAAATATCAAACATATAATTAAGAAATACAGTTTGCTCTACCCCCATGTATAGTCTAATAAAGTACAGTTTTGCCCTTAACTACAACAGTTAAAGCATCTCAGATGATGGATGCATTGTGGGACTGGACAAGGCTTAATTAGGGAACATTGCTGTGTTGCTGATTAATTGTGAGTTGAGCTTAAACATTTTTTCCATCAAAAAGGTTAAACGTAATGTTTCCACCAGTGAAAGCTGGGTAAAGCAACTGCAAACCAAGAACCAAGATGCTACTGTAGGGAACTGCATTCCTCAATGACAACTGACATTCATTGTGATGTCAGTTTACCAAAGGTATATTTGATTACGAGGGGGCAGACTAGAATGGCATAGTGACGTCAATACATTGCAACATAATGCAAAAAGTGTACTTTATCGTCTGATAAAGTACTGTCGGTGCCTTTGATCTTTTAGCGAAGCCTTTTAGAACACTATTAACCAACATGGTGTACTAAGCTAACATATAATATAAATAAATAATTATTACCTTTCAGCAGGGTCTTGGAACTCTTTGACTTGAAACTTTGACTCGTCTTTAGTATTTATAGCAAGAGGAGAAAAACAACCTGAAAAGAAAAACAAACCACACTGAAACGAAATCAACCAATTAGGAAGAAATAATAAGCCATTGGTTTCTCAGACTCCATTATTTACAGACCGCCGCCATATAGCTGGAATATTGCTGAGTGTGGCGTAAAACTAAACTCACTCACTCCAAGAATATTCATATCATTGTTATGAGAAGGAGTGAGTGAGTGAGTTTAGTTTTACGCCGCACTCAGCAATATTCCAGCTATATGGCGGCGGTCTGTAAATAATGGAGTCTGGACCAGACAATCCAGCATGAGCATCGATCTGCGCAATTGGGAACTGATGACATGTGTCAACCAAGTCAGCGAGCCTGACCACCCGATCCCGTTAGTCGCTTCTTACGACAAGCATGGGTTACTGAAGATCAATATTCTAACCCGGACCATCACAGGTTTTATACCAAAGAATGTTTTATATCAACAATTTGATATGTAGAAACATGAAATGAGAGATTATTCATTCTCAATATATTAGTAAAAGATCTTTTCGTTTAAGAAACTTTGAGAATGACTGTAAAGACTTCTGTGATATTTTTGTTAAACCCGAATATCACCTAACCTGGCATTAAGCCATATCAGACAAGTCACGTCACTTTAAATTTTGTAGACATTAACTTCAGGCGCAGGGACAGCGTCACAGGTTAGTCAGAAACTGAAAACATTGAAGAACTAGATATTTTCTCACAAAATCTAGTTTTGTTACTGTTACAGCAATGGTGTCTACCCCTGTAAAAGAACATGGACCTACCCTTGTTCATATACTTTCAGACTCAAACAAACATAGTGTTTCCTCCAGACAACAAAAGGGCAGGGTGAAGGTTGTACAGAAAAGGGCATCCTGGTTTGAAAAGGGCACAAACCACAATCAAAACCCAAACAAAATGATAAGATTCAGCCTCATTTATTGTCAGCTCCCTTAATGTCTTCATTTTAAATGTTTACAAATAAATACGCATTTGATAATTGTTATGAAAACAACATTCGCCACTTCCGCCAGGGGAGGTAAGTGTCAGTGATATTAAAAACCGGAAAATTGCGCAAGTACAAAGACACATTAAAAAGGGCACAAGTAAAGTGCAGGGCGCGGTAAAACAAGTGTTCTTCTTCTAAGAGACATGATTAGTGCTAGCAACACACACTCACCCTGACTGCTCTTTGTCTCCTTTAGTCTGATGAACAGTTCTTCGACCAAACTTTCGATATCATTATCCTGAAAATAAATTAAGAATGGCATTGAACATTTCACCTTTGATCACTTTGGAAAAACAGAATAGATACAAAGAAAAACTACCTAAAATGACTGGGTGACAAAATTATAGCATAAAATAAATCTCAACCAACCACACTGTAAATCAGTGTAAATGTTTGCTAAGCTTCTGACTAATTTCTTATAATGTTTTTGTTAAAATACATGCAACATGTCATAAGACTGAACAGAATCTTCTCTACATAGCTATTCGCTTTTCAGCAGATACAGATGGGTTTGGCCACGAAAATCACTGTCTCTTGAACAGTAAAAGCGCCAAAATAATTGTCAGAATCAAAACACACCTCATCAGACACGGACAAGAGACACTCTACGGCAGCATTTTTCCGTCTTTCCTCCTCACTGACAGGCTTCTTCTTAACATCCCTCCTTTCTTTAGCCTTCTTGGAATCTTTCTTTATATCCCAAAATTCATCTCGGTCAGTGCTATCAATGTCTGCCATATCCTGCTGCAGCAGACTGATGACATAACGGGTGTAAATGACAGAATCAATTTTGCGGAGTTCCAACTGGTGACCTAACCAGGTCAATACAGAGTCCGATAAAGGCATTGCTGCCTCCAAGGACATTCTGTGTTCAGGGTACTTCATGAAGCCTGTCTAACAACTAGGCTCCTGTTCCCTTATCATCAAGTATGCCATGCCAAGTTTCATCAAGACCAAGTTAAAGGTACCACCTTGCTGGGTAAACATTGTGAGAAAGGTTTTTAATACTGCTGTGCCAAAAGCCAATCCATCTTTACTTGTTTTTCATCACTCTTGGAAACTTCCCCAGAGCGGCTCAAGCTGAAAGACTGAAAAACAGGATAAAAAAAAATAAATATACATATGCACATTTAAACATGGAAAGAGAAGAAAAGTATCTGTCTAGTATCTACCTATTTTACACAAAGAACATGTCAAACATTGGCCTGCAACTACTCTGCCTTTATATTCATGCTATGTATACACTGTTTTTTACACACAGGTGATTCAGTAATTCAAATTTGCATGAAAGTCAAAGGGTGGTACATTTAAGTGGTACCTGCATTTAAATACTTTTGGATTAAATCTCTAGGCTTAAATTAAATATTGTATGACATCCTATAGTGGTACATTTGATGTACACACAGTGTTCATGAATGGTGTTTCAAAGTAACAGGACATTGCATCCTGTAAGTTTCAGAGGTCTGTCTGACCCACTGAAAATTCACAGGACCCATAGAATAAAAATTAAACACACATTTCAGATTTAACACTTCTTATAAGTGGCATTGACATTATTAACAAACGTATAATTTGTAAACAGCAAACAAGTGTGATGTGTCACATAAGACAACTTTAGTCAAAGTCATTGTGAAATATACAGTCGGACACTGGGGCCGGCAGGTGGTAGACTTCCACCGGACCACCGGCGAATCTGCCGGATTTGTCAGAGGGCCAGACGCTATTCGTGAACACTGTACACACTCTTGTCTAACACCTTGCTGACTACATGCATTGCAACACTGCATTACACATTAGTACAGAATAATGATATGCCCAAGATTGAAATTGCGTGTGATGATGTTAGAAACATAATGGAGACAGCACTGACTAAAGACACTCATATCGTTTACTGCAGCTAACTTGGGCTGGCTAAGAAGATTGATAATTGAAAGTGGCATCAATTGGAAGAATTAGTACTGATTACTAATATGAGAACTTTGTCACCAATAATATCTTATATAAACTATTGTGATGAAACATAACTTTATTTTACACACAAAATGCACGAAGAGTTACGTCTTTACATATGGGGTGCTTCCACATTATGTTCAGAATGGAGTTTTTTGTTAGAATTTTAGATTTCTTTAAGACTATTTTATCAAAAGCGATTTCTCTGGTATTTATCAATAATTCATTAATCTTTCTATATGATATTCATCGATAGCCTGCTGTGTTGGTACCAATACTGCTCTAAGTTTATTTGAGCGCTACATACTAAACATCACGATGAACTATCAGCATTAGATGTGCTTGTACTGACTTTTTATCAATGTTTAAGACACAAAACACTCCAAGAGAAGATGGTACGTAACCAATGTGCAAAATTTCAAGAGTGACTGTAAATGTGTCCAACCAATATATGTGCATTGTTTGAATGGTGTGAACTGTATTTTATAATATCAGACTAAATGTCAACAAGACATAGAACAAACAATGTGCAATTTCAAACTTAAAGAGAACAGTGAATTCCAAAGTAAACAAGACAAACTGCCTCTGGAATTAAGGGTTTTTGTATATGCAAAAGAATTTTAGTCCACGATTCTTTTTCCTTTTCATGGCTGACTGATACAGACTCAGATTGATGTCATCATATAAATCCAATATAGAGTGTGGAATGAAAAGTGGACTGAAAGCATATGTGCATAGTGAGTGTAAATTGTTCACAATAATATCTCACATATATAATAAGCATTTGAATTGACAAAGTTGTGTTGGGGTGTGTTGTTTGTATATCAGTTCTGTCTGCTTAGCAACATTTGCCACACCCATTTTTCTTTATGTTATGTGTCTATTTCTGCCTTAGTTTTTGTATGCAGATTTCACATTTGAGTTAATACTAGTCCATTGCAAGCATCATTTACTCGCACAGGTACTGGTGTAGAAAATTCTTTGAATATAAGCTTCCAAAATAAGTTCGTCATGTGACTTATTGCAAATAATGACAAAGCAGTTCAGTCATAAGCAGTGCAGACTACAACTAGTGTTTGTTTTTTTTAAAAGCCAGACCACATAATTAGCAATAGTGCTACTAGGTTAACCACTGCGCATATTCATTGAAATTATTGTCGGATTTTTTCACAAAATCTTTTCTTCGGATTCATGACATACCACAAGTTCCTGGCTCGAAGCCGAGGTATGACGACTGTCTGAAGCTTCCGTAAAGGAGAGGTGAAGGTCACTCTCCTGACGCAAGCTATGCTACGCTCAGTTACTAAATACATCTTACTTCCTAGATACCACTCATTTTATCAATCCAACGGGAACACGCATACGTGACAAAACATTATGATAACACGTCGGGTTTTTTCCTTTGAATTAGTTCAGGCACATTTGCTATTCCCTATCGAGGGGTGGCGATCATGTCATGAGTTTCGTGCCTCACACATGCAGCTGAACTTTTCAAAATAAGTAATGATTTTCACAAAATGCGTAGCTTAGATATACAGAGACGTATTCAATGTATGAAAGATACAAAGTGCATACTGTAACACTTACTTACCTCGAACTGAAGCTTCGACGATTGTGTCGTCTGACAGAATTTCTCTTCTGCAACTGTCAAAACCAAAGCCATGGCTAGGGTGCTAGTTTAACGGCATTAAAGCCGTGTCTCCCATGATGCGTCCATTCAAAGATCTGAATCTAGTAAAGCAAACACTTCATCTTCGGTTCCTACAGCTCTTAAAATTCATCAGGTCGAAAACAATCGATGAAAATCACACGAAATTGACCTTATAATGAAGCTGAGACAAACTCAGCTGACCTTTGGAATGAAGGTGAGGTAATTTCCGGATGTTTCTCCGAGGCTAGAAATAGGTCCGCATACTTTGTTCCTTTACAGCCATAATTTCTCATTTTCAAACCATGTCGTTGTAGGAATTGTTTTGACAATATACATTAATGCTAACAGGTAGCGATATTGGGACTATTATCCCTACTCATATTTCACTAGGGTCGCGTAGTAATCAAGTACCTGGCACCTCTCTGGTGATATGGCAACGGGAACTATTTTCGAGAGCGAACAAATTTACATTTCGCAGGCGCGAAATAATATCGGTCGTCTGGGTTTGATTTGAAATGCGAGGCAGCATTACTGTATTTATAAATGGTTGTTCGTGATATTTCTATCAACCTCACTTCGTGTTACTTTAATCATACCTATATTAGAACTACATACATGTATTCGACACTGAATGACATTTTTCCATAGATCTGGAAGATATGTTTTGCCCGGGATGGCCTAAAAGTCGGGCCAAGAAAAGTCGGGCCGGGCCGGGCCACCGGGTAATACTAAAAATGGATTGCAGAATATTAAAACGAAACCTGCACATTTGGGTCGATACACTTCCTGCCTTCACAAATGCATATTTTGATTGAAAATGTATAGTTAATGGTGAAAAAACCCCCACACAAGAACAATGACTACATACCGAAATTCCCGTAGAAAAGACACCGTCTTGTTGTTATGTGTTTTCCTTGATATGTCTATGGGGGAAGGTTGCTTACTTCTCTTAGCGTGTGACATCCTGGGGTCCTGGGCAGGAAGTGACAGTGTTTTGACTGCTTTTCTTTCCTTAATTAAGATATTGGGGTTCCCTAATTAACCTTTATTGTCTCAGGCTGAATCAGCACGGGATGTTTATGTTAAAGAGACGTGGATATCAGCGAGTGTCAATGGGCAAATATGACATGATTACGTATATTAAAAGAAATATCTGAAATCACAAAATTTTGTAATATGTTATAAAGGATCAAACAAAGTATGCATTCACAAACACAAAAATAATTATGTGTTTTCCTGTAAACAATACCAGCCCAAATCAGATAGCCAGCGCGTATGCATATGCTTATATTTACGAATACACATGAAACACAAAATGGTATTATATCTACCTAAATACCACGTCATAAAGTAAAGTAAAAGTGAAGCACTTTTCTCGCTCCTTTCCCTATGATTTAGGAAAATAAAATCCTCGGAAAACAAAATCTGCAATAGAAATTGTTTAGTCTCTGTTCAGCCCGGCTTGGCCCGTGCTGTCAAAAACACCTTAAACCTCACACATGTATCTTGAGTAGTATTTGAAACAAACACGTTGCTTAAAGTGAAGCCCTAATTTCTATACATTGTCAACAACCACATAGTATAACATGATTTCGGTCCGGCTTGCCCCGGGCTCTCAAACATACCTTAAACCACACACATATATCCTGATTTGTGTTTAATTCCATAGATTAGTATTATATCTACCTCAATATCACTGTGTGATGTTACAAAATGCCACATGTAAAGATAACTGGTTCGGTAAAGTGAAGCCCTTTTCTCTCCCCAAACACAACATAGCCTCAATCAAAAGTGTTTAGTCGCCGTTCGGCCCGACTTGGTCCGGGCTGTCAGAAACAGCTTAAACCTCACACATGTATTTTGAAATGTGTTTATATCCATAGATTGGTGCTAGATCTACCTAAATATCACATCACAGAGTCTCAAAGCGTAGTATGTGAAGCAAAAACGTTGCTGAAAGTGAAGCTCTCTTTTCTACATAATCTCACCAAAGACACTGTATCACAGCGTTCAGTCCGGTTGGCCCGGACTCTCAAAAACACCTTAAACCTCACACATGTGTCCTGATTTGTGTTTAATTCCATAGATTAGTATTATATCTACCTAAATATCACTGTGTGATGTTACAAAATGCCACATGTAAAGAAACCTGCTCCGTTAAAGTGAAGCCCTTTTCTCTCTCCCTTTCACAACATAGCCTCAATCAAAAGTGTTTAGTCTCTGTTCAGCCCGACTTGGCCCGTGCTGTCAAAAACACCTTTAACCTCACACATGTATCCTGATGTCTGTCTATATCTCTAGAATAGAGTTATATCGACCTAAGTACGTCTTTATAGAGTCTCAAAGCGTAGTATTTGAAACAAACACGTTGCTTAAAGTGAAGCCCTAATTTCTTTACATTCCAACAACCACATAGTATAACATGCTTTCGGTCCGGCTTCGCTCGGGCTCTCAAAAACATTCTTAACCCCACACATATATCCTGATTTGTGTTTAATTCCATAGATTAGTATTATATCTACCTAAATATCACTGTGTGATGTTACAAAATGCCACATGTAAAGATAACTGGTTCGGTAAAGTGAAGCCCTTTTCTCTCCCCAAACACAACATAGCCTCAATCAAAAGTGTTTAGTCGCTGTTCAGCCCGACTTGGCCCGTGATGTCAAAAACAAACTAAACCTCACACATGTATTTTGAAATGTGTTTATATCCATAGATTAGTGTTAGATCTACCTAAGTACGTCTTTATAGAGTCTCAAAGCGTGGTATTTGAAGCAAACACGTTGCTTAAAGTGAAGCCCCAATTTCTATACATTCCAACAACCACATAGTATAACATGCTTTCGGTCCGGCTTGGCCCGGGCTCTCAAAAACAACCTTAACCCCACACATATGTCCTGATTTGTCTTTCATTCCATAGATTAGTATTATATCTACCTCAATATCACTGTGTGATGTTACAAAATGCCACATGTAAAGATAACTGGTTCGGTAAAGTGAAGCCCTTTTCTCTCCCCAAACACAACATAGCCTCAATCAAAAGTGTTTAGTCGCTGTTCGGCCCGACTTGGCCCGTGATGTCAAAAACAAACTAAACCTCACACATGTATCTTGAAATGTGTTTATATCCATAGATTAGTGTTAGATCTACCTCAGTACGTCTTTATAGAGTCTCAAAGCGTAGTATTTGAAACAAACACGTTGCTTAAAGTGAAGCCCTAATTTCTATACATTGTCAACAACCACATAGTATAACATGCTTTCGGTCCGGCTTGGCCCGGGCTCTCAAAAACAACCTTAACCCCACACATATGTCCTGATTTGTGTTTCATTCCATAGATTAGTATTATATCTACCTAAATACGTCTTTATTGAGGCTCAAAGCTTTGTTCATGTATTTGAATCTAACACGTTGCTTAAAGTGAAGCCCAGTGTTCAATCTGGCTCTGTGCGGGCTAATGAAATTAATACACCTGTTAATTACACCTGTATCCAGCTTGCTTAATTGCCCCTTGACTAATTGCAATCAGCTAGGTGTTGTGATTCAATTAACATACTCCATTGTTGTCCTTAATTACCGTTCAGGGGCCTTCAGTGTTATTTATTATTACTCCACCGTTTCTTCATAACGTTTATCACAGAGGGGCATGTAATCACTGACTAAATTAGTAATGCTAAAAATGAGGCATTTGTTCTGTTGTATATATAGGCTGTGGAAGCATAAATAATTATATATATATATATATAATTATATATATAATATTTATGCTTCCACTCGTGTTATGTTCAAGAGTATAAACATTAATGAATACTAGGTCCGATACCTTTTGCAGGCTGAAGCTATTCGTGATATGATTTACACATATACTTAACTTAATAAATATCAGAAGATATTATACCGAATTATATGACATGAAATGCTTGAAAGAGGTGGGTTTTTTTAGTGGTTTCAGAATACAGGATGTTCTCCGTACAGTTTCCACAGTATAAACATCAATTCATACTAGTACAGATATAGATAGCCGGCTGAAGCTATTCATGACACGATTTGAACATATCAGTAATTTAATAAATATCAGAAGGTATCAGCTAAAATGACTTGCCGTATGAGATGTTATGGTTATATAATTTGAACATACGAAAGTATGAAAACACATCCACGGCAATGACACTGTCTTGCCCAGCTCAGGCTCGGGAGATTCCTGATGTTGTAAACTTTAAAGCGTTTCAGATAATCCTATTTTCCTGAACACGCATACAGACAATAGAAGTATTAGAGAGAGCAGTGGGAGAAGTATGTTTTCATTAAATCCACAGTGTCTCGCCTAGATTTCTCCAAATGCATCCATATAAAACTGGCCAAGCTGGGCAGTAGCAGCCTATATTCAAATCATCTGATCTGAAAATGTCTGCATTACTTGTTGGCGACTCGTTACTGAAGTACACGCAGAAAGAAGGGATCGTGACAAGGTCACTGTCCGGAGCCAAGGTGGCTGACATTCCCGATCTCTTGTGGGACATGGAGAACTTTAAGGTAATAAACAGTTCAAGAATGTCGGATTGTGCACAGAATGTGAAGTGATATGTAGGTAGATATAACACTAATCTATGGATATAAACACATTTCAAGATACATGTGTGAGGTTTTAATTTGTTTTTCACAGCACGGACCAAGCCGGGCTGAACAGAGACTAAACACTTTTGATTGAGACTATATTGTGAATGGAGAGACAAAAGGGCTAACTTTAACGAACCAGTTATCTTTACATGTTGCATTTGATAACATTACAAAGTGATATTTAGGTAGATATAATACCAATCTATGGATTTAAACCCATTTCAAGATACATCTGTGAGGTATAAGGTGCGTTTGAGCGCCCGAGCCAAGCCGGACCGAAAGCTTGTGATACTGTGTCTTTGTTGAGAATGTATAGTAAATAGGGCTTCACTTTCAGCGACGTTTTTGCTTCAAATACAACGCTTTGAGCCTCTGTGAAGTGATATTTAGGTAGATATAACACAAATCTATGGATTTAAACACAAATCAAGATATATGTGTGAGGTTTAAGTAGTTTTTGACAGCGCAGGCCAAGCCGGGCTGAACAGAGGCTAAACACATTTGATTGAGGCTATCTTGTGAATGGAGAGAGAAAAGGGCTA